GCAGTCCGAAGATAGAAGGTGGCGACCAATTGTTGACCAGTAATGCTTCCTCCGTCACTCTTTTGTTTCAAAATAAAGTGATGTTGCTGCTAAAGATTATGCTGATTTATGACGAAGCTCTATTGAGCGGCTAACCTCCATTAAGCGGCCACTTGCCAGTGCCCCGAGGGATGCCGCTTAATTGAGGTTCAACTATATTGTTAGGGAACCTTACGGCGACGGTAACGGGAACGTCCAAAAACACCAGTTTTAACCCTTTAAACCCTAAGATCAAACTTTGAAATCTCATTTGCTGCCCCTATTCTTTCCTACAGAAGAAATGGGGAGAAGTTAATAAAATATCAAGCAAATTCATCTTGTGTGATCATGTCCGTACTTCTCATGACCACTCTGTGTTACAAAGCATTGATATTACAAGGAGAAATTTGATGCTGATCACTCTTAGGGCTTAAAGGGTTAATGAGCACACAACAACAACTTTGCACGTGCATCAAGATTGTTTGTAAATTTCATTGCCTTCCCTTCACAACTACAGACGTGACAAGGCCAAATTTTACGTTCACTTGAGAACGGGAACCGGACAAGGCAATAAATTCTAACATCTCTGTCTTAATATCGGGCGCAGTCTCTTCTCTTCAGCTCCAACTTAAAGTAACTTAGGGATAATCGCCAAAAAGTTTGAAAGGATGCGAAGTCTGGTTTTTAACGACTTTTTCGTGGACGTCGCCATTGTCGGATCGTTAGGTCCCTATTCACTATGAAGCTTTTCCGTAATATAGAGGTGTTCATTTTATTAAAGTGCATTTTACGAGAGTTTCCCCTTAAACACTTGAAAGTCTCGATTGCCACTACGAGGAAAATCCAGGATATCATTTAAACAACAAGAAACAGATTTGTCCGGCGAAGAGTCCTCTATCCTGTAAACAACAGGATTTTATGTCTTGACTCTTTAGTCCTCTGGCTTGTTTGATACCTGATTAAAAAAAGGGGCGAACATCATAAGATAGGTTCCGATCCATTCCAGTCTATGACAGCATTCTTCCACCTGTACGATCAGTGAAAAAAAAAATACACAATGGTTTAATTGTCTACCACTGTCTTAGGACAAGGACGCAGAATTATCGTATGCCAATTATTGCATTCTGCGTCATGTTGCAAGCTGGTTTTAACAAATCGACAACAATTTTCCATGGTCTGTACTCTTATCGTCTATAAAAATGACGTCAAAAGGTTCAGAACTCAAATGGAACCACAAGCCCCAGGCGAGTGGTTTCATTGCAAAGTTTTGAACGTTTTGACGTCATTTCTATGGTCGATAAGAGTATAGACCATGTTATTGTAAAAAAAAAAAAAAAAACAATAACATTTACAGTCTGGACGTCCATTTCTGTTGAGGTTTCTCGGAAAATCGCGCACACGAGAAAGAGACAAACAAATTGTGCCATCATGACGTCATTTTCATGGTCTGTACTCTTATCAAACACATAGCTCTCGATCAATCAGCGTGCGAGAAACTCAGTCAAAAATATCTTGACTTTGTGCTTGAAATACGCCTAGCTTTCATTGAGCCCGACACGTCAACAAAAACATCAAACACGCCTGTTTCTAAGTCAGTACAGGAAATCCCAAAACGACGAGACATTTCGTAACCAAAAAGACTCCAACTACCCCTTTAACGAGCAAGCAATAGGTTTTTGGATAGAAACACCTTAGGAATTTGCCGACAAACTAAGCACCACACGCAAAAAAAGTACCATCACGATGTGAAAGTACTGCTAAAAAGGTTTCTTTTGAATGACCACGTCGTAGAATTTCGTCCACAGACTCAAACGTAACAGATACATACTAAATTACAGGAAACATCTGAAAGTACATGTACTGCTAAAGAGGTTCAATTGAATGGTACCCCCGTAGCTAGGATTTCATCCACAGACTTAAAAATTTAGAACTATACACTCAAGATATAGAAAAGTGTGAAAGTAGGGCTGACGAGGTTTAATTTGAATGACTCCAAACATTGCCTGATGGTTGAAAATGAGCCTTGAAATGCACCTCTGTGTTAAAGAATGATCCCACAACGGGCCGTTTGAAGCTCATCAATCACGGGGTACAAAAACTATGGAGAGCAAGAAAAGCAGTGGGACGACAAGAAAAACAGACCTTATATTATTTTGTTTGGAAATTTACGTTCTCTTTCTTGTTCAAGTAGCTGTCTTGCCGCTTATGATGGCGTTTTTATACCACGCGGCCAAATGCAAAAGGCCACTTTTCTGACAATGAACTCTGTCACGTGGTCTCACCTTGTTCGTATGCAGTGTTCCAGTGGAGGCACAAGATCAGTGTCCTTGTATTCTGGGCATTCTTTTGTTGTATCTTTATCAAGAGAAAGATGAAATTACTTTCAGGCTCCGTGCACACGTATCCGAATATTTTTGAAACCATTTTTTTGTTCTTTTAAGTCTTGGGCAGTTCACAAGTAAACGGCCTTTTCCGGCTAGTGTTGATTTTTTCTTTTCTTTCTTCTTGTTTTATTTGCAAAACGCCTGCTTATCTTTTTCAATTGAAATAGGATGATGTCATTCATAATACAGGGACGCTATCGTAATTTCATTAACGAAAGACATCTCTGAAATTGAATTAGCGTGAAATACGTTTTTGCAAACGTAAATGGTATTAAACCAGTGGTATTATAATTTCAATTTGCCCTTAGCATTTCTGCAGAATTTTAATTTATCCTGACTCAAAATAACTTCCTTGACTTTTTCATGAACTTGAAATACCTTTTTTCTACGTCATTACCTAGCCTGTAACAGCTATGTACCCAAGCAAGACCATATAGCTTACACTATGGCAAATTACAGGAAGTAATGCTTGCTCACCAACTGTCAATCTTAACTCCTCATCCTGCCGTGCCAGACCATCATAGTAATAAAGGTCAAACTTCTTCTCTAACCTCCTGTGTATATCAACAGTCAATTGGTCAATCAGTTAATATATCAATCGATCAATCAATCAATCAATCAATCGTTAGCCTACGCTGACTACTATATTGCAGTTAGATAGCACATTATACACACATCTAATCCTGCAATGACTATCACGTGAAATTATCATAATCTTGAAAAAACAAGATGAACCAAGTCATTCCACGAATACACGCTCTGATTCCTTTGAGCTCTCCTTGTCCCAGTGTTGGTTTCAAGAGATTGCTTGGACTTTTTTGTATAAACACTGAAGAAATCCGCGAGTGTTTCAACAATTATGACTAGGACTTCCGGCCTGCAAGGACCTCTGGCTTCGGATCCGTAGTTCGGGGTTCAAGCCCTGCCATCGCGTTCATTCCTTAACGTGGTCTCTCCTCACTCAGGTGTATTAACGGAACCTGGCGACATCCTGCTAGCGGTAACCCTTCCATAGCCTACATGCAGACGTTTCCTTTTCTAGCGGGGGAGATGCGGGGGAGGAAAGAATTACACCCAGGTTTCTCACACTAAAGAGACTGGGAGAAGCCTCGGTCGTGTGGGCACCATGGCTTGCTAAGCTTAGTATAAGCGTCTAACAAGAGTACTCCGGGTCCAATTTCCCTTGGAGGTGCCCAAAGCTTCGACCACCTACCTCTTCCCTATGTAACAATTTTGCCCTTAGTGAGAAATAAAAGTTAACGTCGACTTAGGGGAGGGGTAGGTGGTCAGTAACCCAGAAACCTCAATACCAAAACGTTGCCTCTGAGTTTGCACGCTTTGATCCGATCAATATACGTTTCTGGGAGACTGCCCACCTACCCTTCCCCTAAGGCAACATTTTGTCCTAAGTCAGAAGTAAGTGTTAATGTTGGTTTAGGGGAGGGGTAGGTGGACAGTTTCCAACTCCTTCATATAGTTGGTCTCAGACCATCATTATTTGCTTGTAAACTGATCGCTGATAGAAGTAATTTTCTAACCCTTCGGTAAAGCACTACAAGTGACCAGGACGTAGTATCTCTTTTACACCATCAGTGTTTTTAATAAAACGGAAGGAATAAAAGGTGGCGACCAATTGTTGACCAGTAATGCTTCCTCCGTCACTCTTTTGTTTCAAAATAAAGTGATGTTGCTGCTAAAGATTATGCTGATTTATGACGAAGCTCTATTGAGCGGCTAACCTCCATTAAGCGGCCACTTGCCAGTGCCCCGAGGGATGCCGCTTAATTGAGGTTCAACTATATTGTTAGGGACCTTACGGCGACGGTAACGGGAACGTCCAAAAACACCAGTTTTAACCCTTTAAACCCTAAGATCAAACTTTGAAATCTCATTTGCTGCCCCTATTCTTTCCTACAGAAGAAATGGGGAGAAGTTAATAAAATATCAAGCAAATTCATCTTGTGTGATCATGTCCGTAATTCTCATGACCACTCTGTGTTACAAAGCATTGATATTACAAGGAGAAATTTGATGCTGACCACTGTTAGGGCTTAAAGGGTTAATGAACACACAACAACAACTTTGCACGTGCATCATGATTGTTGGTTAATTTCATTGCCGTCTCTTCACAACTACAGACGTGACAAGGCCAAATTTTACGTTCACTTGAGAACGGGAACCGGACAAGGCAATAAATTCTAACATCTCTGTCTTAATATCGGGCGCAGTCTCTTCTCTTCAGCTCCAACTTAAAGTAACTTAGGGATAATCGCCAAAAAGTTTGAAAGGATGCGAAGTCTGGTTTTTAACGACTTTTTCATGGACGTCGCCATTGTCGGATCGTTAGGTCCCTATTCACTATGAAGCTTTTCCGTAACAGAGAGGCGTCCATTTTATTAAAGTGCATTTTACGAGATTTTTCCCTTAAACACTTGAAGTCTCGATTGCCACTACGAGGAAAATCCAGGATATCATTTAAACAACAAGAAACAGATTTGTCCGGCGAAGAGTCCTCTATCCTGTAAACAACAGGATTTTATGTCTTGACTCTTTAGTCCTCTGGCTTGTTTGATACCTGATTAAAAAAAGGGGCGAACATCATAAGATAGGTTCCGATCCATTCCAGTCTATGACAGCATTCTTCCACCTGTACGATCAGTGAAAAAAAAAAAGTACACATGGGTTTAATTGTCTACCACTGTCTTAGGACAAGGACGCTGAATTATCGTATGCCAATTATTGCATTCTGCGTCATGTTGCAAGCTGGTTTTAACAAATCGACAACAATTTTCCATGGTCTGTACTCTTATCGTCTATAAAAATGACGTCAAAAGGTTCAGAACTCAAATGGAACCACAAGCCCCAGGCGAGTGGTTTCATTGCAAAGTTTTGAACGTTTTGACGTCATTTCTATGGTCGATAAGAGTATAGACCATGTTATTGTAAAAAAAAAAAACAACAATAACATTTACAGTCTGGACGTCCATTTCTGTTGAGGTTTCTCGGAAAATCGCGCACACGAGAAAGAGACAAACAAATTGTGCCATCATGACGTCATTTTCATGGTCTGTACTCTTATCAAACATATAGCTCTCGATCAATCAGCGTGCGAGAAACTCAGTCAAAAATATCTTGACTTTGTGCTTGAAATACGCCTAGCTTTCATTGAGCCCGACACGTCAACAAAAACATCAAACACGCCTGTTTCTAAGTCAGTACAGGAAATCCCAAAACGACGAGACATTTCGTAACCAAAAAGACTCCAAATACCCCTTTAACGAGCAAGCAATAGGTTTTTGGATAAAAACACCTTAAGAATTTGCCGACAAACTAAGCACCACACGCAAAAAAAGTACCATCACGATGTGAAAGTACTGCTAAAAAGGTTTCTTTTGAATGACCACGTCGTAGAATTTCGTCCACAGACTCAAACGTAACAGATACATACTAAATTACAAGAAACATCTGAAAGTACATGTACTGCTAAAGAGGTTCAATTGAATGGTACCCCCGTAGCTAGGATTTCATCCACAGACGTAAAAATTTAGAACTATACACTCAAGATATAGAAAAGTGTGAAAGTAGGGCTGACGAGGTTTAATTTGAATGACTCCAAACATTGCCTGATGGTTGAAAATGAGCCTTGAAATGCACCTCTGTGTTAAAGAATGATCCCATAATGGGCCGTTTGAAGCTCATCAATCACGGGGTACTGTACAAAAACTATGGAGAGCAAGAAAAGCAGTGGGACGACAAGAAAAACAGACCTTATATTATTTTATTTGGAAATTTACGTTCTCTTTCTTGTCCAAGTAGCTTTCTTGCCTCTTATGATGGCGTTTTTATACCACGCGGCCAAATGCAAAAGGCCACTTTTCTGACAATGAACTCTGTCACGTGGTCTCACCTTGTTCGTATGCAGTGTTCCAGTGGAGGCACAAGATCAGTGTCCTTGTATTCTGGGCATTCTTTTGTTGTATCTTTATCAAGAGAAAGATGAAATTACTTTCAGGCTCCGTGCACACGTATCCGAATATTTTTGAAACCATTTTTTTGTTCCTTTAAGTCTTGGGCAGTTCACAAGTAAACGGCGTTTTCCGGCACCTAAAACGCAACTTTGTAAAACGCTTTCATAGTGTTGATTTTTTCTTTTCTTTCTTCTTGTTTTATTTGCAAAACGCCTGCTTATCTTTTTCAATTGAAATAGGATGATGTCATTCATAACACAGGGACGCTATCGTAATTTCATTAACGAAAGACACTTCTGAAATTGAATGAGCGTGAAATACGTTTTTGCAAACGTAAATGGTATTAAACCAGTGGTTTTATAATTTCAATTTGCCCTTAGCATTTCTGCAGAATTTTAATTTATCCTGACTCAAAATAACTTCCTTGACTTTTTCATGAACTTGAAATACCTTTTTCCTACGTCATTACCTAGCCTGTAACAGCTATGTACCCAAGCAAGACCATATAAGTTACACTACGACAGTTTCAGGAAGTAATGCTTGCTCACCAACTGTCAATCTTAACTCCTCATCCTGCCGTGCCAGACCATCATAGTAATAAAGGTCAAACTTCTTCTCTAACCTCCTGTGTATATCAACAGTCAATTGGTCAATCAGTTAATATATCAATCGATCAATCAATCAATCAATCAATCAATCGCTAGCCTACGCTGACTACTATATTGCAGTTAGATAGCACATTATACACACATCTAATCCTGCAATGACTATCACTTGAAATTATCATAATCTTGAAAAAACAAGATAAACCAAGTCATTCCACGAATACACGCTCTGATTCCCTTGAGCTCTCCTTGTCCCAGTGTTGGTTTCAAGAGATTGCTTGGACTTTTTTGTATAAACACTGAACAAATCCGCGAGTGTTTCAACAATTATGATTAGGACTTCCGGCCTGCAAGGACCTCTGGCTTCGGATCCGTAGTTCGGGGTTCAAGCCCTGCCATCGCGTTCATTCCGTAACGTGGTCTCTCCTCACTCAGGTGTATTAACGGAACCTGGCGACATCCTGCTAGCGGTAACCCTTTCATAGCCTACATGCAGACGATTCCTTTTCTAGCGGGGGAGATGCGGGGGAGGAAAGCATTACACCCAGGTTTCTCATACTAAAGAGACTGGGAGAAGCCTCGATCGTGTGGGCACCATGGCTTGCTAAGCTTAGTATAAGCGTCTAACAAGAGTACTCCGGGTCCAATTTCCCTTGGAGGTGCCCAAAGCTTCGACCACCTACCTCTCCCCTATGTAAGAATTTTGCCCTTAGTGAGAAATAAAAGTTAACGTCGACTTAGGGGAGGGGTAGGTGGTCAGTAACCCAGAAACCTCAATACCAAAACGTTGCCTCTGAGTTTGCACGGTTTGATCCGATCATTATACGTTTCTGGGAGACTGCCCACCTACCCTTCCCCTAAGGCAACATTTTTTCCTAAGTCAGAAGTAAGTGTTAATGTTGGTTTAGGGGAGGGGTAGGTGGACAGTTTCCCACTCCTTCATACAGTTGGTCTCAGACCATCATTATTTGCTTGTAAACTGATCGCTGATAGAAGTAATTTTCTAACCCTTCGGTAAAGCACTACAAGTGACCAGGACGTAGTATCTCTTTTACACCATCGGTGTTTTTAATAAAACGGAAGGAATAAAACTCCTTATTACTACATAAATGGCTTTTAGTGACAACATCAAAGAATACAAGTCTTTAGGAAGAGCAAAACAGGCTAAAGATAAGTTCAAATGCCGTTAATTGGCTGGTATCAATGGCTGTTTTCACACTGGAGACGGATAATTCATCTTGAAAATCCGTCAAAATTGACGGAAATACAGATGGATAAAGTCAGGCGGATTGTCCATCCAAAATTAAGACCGTTCCATTTTCAGATTTAGACGTATTAATTTTTATCTGTCTGACGCGAATTATCCAACGGATCCACCTGACCCGTCTCGAACGGATAATCCGTCTCTCGAGTAAACACGGACATTTACGAGTCACTATCGTCCAAAAGGTTTCTGTCGATAGAGAACAAGACACTGAAGTGACTCTCGCTGCATATCACCCAAATAGGATAATTGGGAGTCTTGTAATTCACACCAACCTGTGACAAATGAGATGATGAAGTCTGTCAGTACATCGTTGATACTCATGTTTTTTGGCCATCTAAGCTGAAGAAGAAACAAAAAGCAAACTGCAGTGATAAACAAAAATGCGTTTATATTTCCTTATGTTTATCACCGCAGTTTTATCTTTGTTTCTTTTGTCAGTACAACTGTAGCACGCAGGACGGGAGCTTTTTTTCGCGTCTAAGAGGGCGTGGAACGCGAAACAAGCGCGACAGGGAAAAGCGCGGAAAAATAATAATAAAGAAACAATTTCTGCGCCTTCCACCGCCACACTGTCTCGTGTTCCACGCCCGCTTCGCGCATGCCTGAAAAACGCGAAAAATAACGCCTGTTCTGCAGGGTAGCAAAACTGCTCCTTTGAACTACACGCCGGTTAAACCTTAAGTCTCAATATCAACATAAATATTCTCCAAAATGATCTCCATACATTTTCTTGAAAAACAAGTTGAGAGAATATGATTTAAGATCAAAGCATTTTCACTTAAGTGATGGCTTTATTAATTCTCATAACCTTCACTCTTGATGATCTCCTGATGTTGTTAGGAGATAATTAATGTTGGTCACTCGTGGGAGATAAAGGGTTAAACCTTAAGCCTGATTTCCATATAATAATCTGGATTGTTTCAGTCGCCTTTATTTTCTACTCGGGACGTTACAAACCAACGTAAGTCAACCAGCCTATCTACAGAGCTTGGCTCTATCCAGACGATTGAATGCCTGCAATAAGCAACAAGGACGGCGACGGCGACGGTTGCGAAAACGTCTAACAGTCTTTTCATTTCCAAGGTCGACTATTATGGACGGGAGCTCCGCCCTAAGGTTTGCCTCAATGTATTAAAGAAGAACAACGAGTTCTGTTCCACTAAGACTCTCTTAATATTTGTACAAAGGAGGAACAGGAAGCAGCCTTGGAGGTGTGCAGAAACATAAAAGGGACTTTAACCAGCGACGTTTTTGAGCGACGCACGTCAACCGGAAGTATGCTTTTTGCACTCTTGAGCCGTGATTTTCAACACATAAGAGAAAAGACACATAGCAATACAACAAATTTGGTAGTGTCAAGGCATATTGCAAGAAAAAAGGTTCACTTCCGGTTGACATGCGTCGCTCAAAAATGTCGCTGCTTAAACTGCCTAAAGACGGTGACAGTAGGTAAGCACCTCCCGGCCCTTTGATCACGCCCCCCCCCTCCCCACCCTTTCCTCTCTACACAGAGAAATAGGAAGCTTAAGCAACAACGACGGCAACGACTACGAAAAAGTCACTTCAAAAGTGAATTCGCGTTGCCTCAAATTTTATCGCGCTTATAACACCTCGTTTAACTCGTCAACGCCGTTTTATTTCAGTTCCAGTTTTTTAAAAAAAAAAAAAACCTTTCAAATAAACCAGACCGAAACATTTTAAAGAAATTAATATCAACGGATTTCCCACCACTGACAGATATCATTCCTGTCCAGAAGACTTATGTACATAATCTCAGGAAAAAAGGTTGCGCACGCCCGAAAATTAATACAGAGCGTTTTATGAACACCTTTGTAAATAGGATACCCTGCAAGCAGAGGCTACATTTTCGCGGTATGGGCTGGCGTGCGAAAAGTAGCTACTTTTCGCACGCCAGCTATTACCGCGAAAATGTAGCCTCTGCTCGCAAGGTATAAGTAGGATGATTTTTAAGCTCAATTTATTGTAATCACAAACTTTTTTTTAATATACGTAGATATTTTTATCATAGTTTTTTATCTTCCGTATTATTGTAACATAAGATATGCAGTTTTATCTTTTGATGAAATAAGGACTCATTATTATTATTATTTAAATGTTGGCAAATTTTTTTGTGGTTGAATTCTAAAGGACTGTATCAAAGTTCAGGAAAAGAAAGTCGCGTGTTTCCGTCCTCGACAAAACGTGAAATTAGGCACCTTCACGGTGTAGTCGTATGACGACGACAAGGAAATGCACAAAAACGCGTATTGTTTTGCCAATCTGAGGGTCTGTTTACATGGCGGTGGGGGACTCCAGATAGGTGAGGTAACATGCAGCGGGTCACCCCACCTATCATGTAAACGTGATCAAATTAAAATGGGAGATTATATGGAGAGGTGGGTTACCCGACCTAAGCGGGTTACGTCCGCTACCTGGGGTCCCCCACCTCCATGTAAACAGGCTCTAAACCTATTGTTTTTTTCCCGTCCTCGTTGCCGTCGCCGTCGCCGTCACCGTTGCTTAAGCTCGCTAATATCTCTAGTCATCACCAACCTCGCATGATTTGTAATGTTCAAATAAGGACAGAAACCCGATCTCACTTTGTTTATCTATCCCTTTGAAGACATTCTAAAAAAAAAAAAAAAATCGGTAAATGTTAGCATCTATAGGGAAGCAAAAAACCTTACTATATACGTTCACGTCGAAAGATTAAACAGAATGTTTAAAGAAACTAAGAGGCATCAGCAGTTGCAGAGAATAAGGGGAATTCCTTCAGATATTCTCGAGATGATGGGGTTGTATCACATTGAATCGTTGTAATTCCGTTTTACATATTAGTGAAAATAATCTTTAATAGGTTCGTGATACAGTGAAACCCCGTACATACGGACTCTAAGGGGGGTATAGAAAGTATTCGTATTAACGAGGTGTTCGTATTAAGAGGGTTGAATTAAGAAAAATCTCAGGGCCTTCATTCTCCAGGGACAAGGAAAACTGTCACATGTAAAAATCGTCTTAGGTTCGTGATACAGTAAAACCCCGTACATACGGACTCTAAGGGGGCCATAGAAAGTGTCCGTATTAACGGGGTGTTCGTATTACACGGGTAGAATTAAGAGAAAAAGTAAGGGCTTTTTTTCTCCGAGGACAAGGAAAATTTTCACATATCAGTAAAAATCGCTTTAGGTGCGTGATACAGCCAAACCGCGTGAATACAGACACTAAGGGAGCCATAGAAAGTGTCCCGAATTAGCGAGGTGTCCGTAAAACGGAGGTGACTGTACACGAATCATTAACAACCATGGGGGTGGGGTACAAACAGTCTCACTCAGGAAATCAACTTTATCGCCTGACGAGGACCTAAGTAAGTAGCGATCAGTAGTGACAATCTTGGGACAAACGATAAACGGAACCCTTTAAACACATTAACCATGATAAAAAATATCCTTCATGACATCGTCTTAAATACTACGCCTTTTTCGAACCCCCTGTATCAACTTCCATGATGTTATCGAATGTGTTTGAGACAGCCTTTCCAGTTATTAACAAGTTCACCAGTTCCTGTAAAGGACAATACATGTAATAAGAACGAGAATGAGACTTTTGCTGCAATTAATGAAAAAGAAGCTCAAACTGGACGAAATTCCAGCTATTAAGAAAGAACGAAAGAAAGACGGAAACAGACAACCAAACAAAGTAACAAACACTTGTATGATACATTAAGGGACTAAGGGAACACCTTACCACCGCACCTGGGAAAACTGTGCTAAGAATGGTGTTAGCAGACATACAAAAAATTATAATATTGAACATTCTATTAAAATAAATAGGCACGCGAAGGCATAACCTACAAAGACTATCCATTCCATTTAAGATTAACGTCGGGGAAATCATCATCATCATCATCATCATCCTGGTCGTCGTCGTCAGATTGATCCATACCCGTAAATGAAAAAGATTGTAGTATACAGGTACTGCATTGAAAATCTAACCTGCGTGCAGTAGCCGTGAGCACCCATCAGCCTGCCTTGAGGTTCATCCATATCAGATATCACTCTTAAACAACAACAACAAGAAAAGTTTAAGGCCACTAAATACTTGATAAAAATCACCAGAAGCTCCCTTACATTAAACTTGCAATATAATACTAGCAGATTATTTTTCTCGAAATTATAACACAAAGGCTTACTCTCGATTTCTACTGACATTGATACTTCTTTGCCCCTAGTCAACTATTTGCCGTTAAACTCATCGCCAATAGATGAACTTGAGAACTGGTGCCTTAATGGTTGGACGGGAGCCTGAGCGCCTCAGACATAGCAAGGAGGTATCCATGGCAACCCTGCAAGCGGGAACCACCCCTGCATGCCGCCGCTAACTGGCACCGTCACACTGAAGGAAATTCAGTGGAAAATATTCACCTGACCCCATACTTACCAACGGAGAAACCCAAAAAGGGGAGGGAGGGGGTGGGAGCCAGAATCCGCAAAGATTGGAATAAAACACCTGATCCGCAGAGATCAGCTCAAAATGCCAGCATGAGATGCAACGTAAGTCACAAGATAAGCAATGTACCGTGCATATGCACTTACTGGAAGGCGGGGATTTAACAGCTAGGAGGTTCTTTTGGTTCTAATTCCATTTTTGTCCTAAGAAAGTGGCCAGGGGTTTTACTCATAACAGCCGGGGGAAATGCCAGGCCCCCGGCACTAAATGACAATCCTTATCAGGAGTAATAGACGAAGAACCACTTTGTGATACGCCACATCTAAATCATACATTGTTATTTATTCATTTAACCATCAGTTCCAAGAGTGACCAACATCAACTTTCTCCTCACGATATCAATACAAAATCAAGACTAAAGGTTATGAGAATTAAGGAAATGATCATTTAAAGGAAAATGCTTTGATTTTTTTAATCACATTCTCTCAACTAATTCTTTGAGGAAATATCTAGTATTAGTTTGAAGAATTTGTATGTGAATATTAGGGCTTAAAGGTTTAAATATCATTTACTAGAGCATCACTTACTTTCGTATTGACCTGGACAATATCACAGAATACAACAGTAAAATACATCCACTGCTACTATCAGACTCAAACTGAAAATGGAAAAAAAGCGGATTTATTTCTAAAAGAAATTCAGTAATACGGAAACTACATAATTCAGGATTAAGTTTGGCTATTATAGTACAAGCTGTTAATATTCCTGTCATAAAGTCTCCAGTAAAGCCATTTTAATTTTAGACCGGCAAGCACCAGACGTTGAAGACGAACTAAAGGGTCCCCCGGGAGGAACTCCCCTATGAAAGGGGCGTGGATGCACGTCGTCACGCTTAGGGGTGCAATTTTTGGTCTCATTTACGTTGTTCTGGGCAAAACGCCATTATATTTAGCCGTAAAGGTCTCTTTTAGGGTTACGCGCGAAGAAATATAAAAAATACATATTTTTTCAATTTGTTTGATTTTCTCGATTCATGTAATCAAAGTTTTTTAGGGGTCTAAAAAGGTTGGGCCACGCCCAGATTGGTCTCCTTTAGGGGTTTAATTCAAAAGTTCCGACCATCATCCTCGCCCCTTTCATATGGGAGTCCCCCCCCGGGATGGGCCCTCAGTAGGCTTTTCGGGATCCGAGATTCCGCTTATTTGGCGGTCGGGATCCGGGATTTTAGAGGGAAACGAAATGGAGATTCAGCGTGAAATTATGAAAGTGATACGGGAATTGGACAACGAAAATTCGGCAAACCAGTTGCACTGAAAAACGATACATCACTTAATTTGGAGACGCGCTTTAAACACCTTTCATTTAGACTTACGATATCGACGTTTTGTCATTCGGTCGACTGTAAACAAAGGCTGTATTCAGTCCAAGAGCAAATCTGTCCATTGAAAGGCATGTTTAGGGTTACGGTCGGAATAACTGGATTGAAAAAGCCTAATGAGGGCCTTCCGTGATGTCACGTTGGCAATGTTAGTGTAAGTGAACCACAAGCAGCAAGCAAACTCCTCTAGAGAGAGGAGAAGTGTGACGTCACGTTACCATGGTGGCAGAATCATGATCTGGATCTTAACAATCTTTCTTGATAAGGACGGCCATTTGCATTGTCGAACGATGGAAGAAAAGTATGGGCTACTGTTTTGTTCCTGAGTGCAATCATGCACAGGAAAGGAATTCATGTTAACTTTTTCGTTTTTTTTTTTGTGCCATGGGCCACGGTTTGTTCAGGTCCAGAAATTTTGCTACCATGGCAACGTGACGTAACGACTTCTCCTCTTCATTGAGGCGGTTCTGATTTGCTCTATTGAGAATGAAGGGGCATATTACAGACCGCTAACTTTCGGCCCTTGTTTCCAAGCAATAAGCATTTATCGGACAAGGTTAAGCACTTGGAAAAATCGCGATATGTCATTGGTGGGCAGATCAAGTATCACTTTTGCTGTTAAGTAAACCGACTTCAGTAACCGTTTCACCAATGATTTACGCTTAATAAAATAATCCTTTAAAAAAAAAAAACATTACAAAACAGATACAATGGTTAAAAGGTAAGCAACGGTACCTTGTGAAAAGGAGAAATAAAAACCACCTTATCCAGGCTTTTTCAATAATTGCTTATTGTAAAAACATACAACAGGTAAGGATAGAGTGACCTAGTAAGAATGATACGTACCTGCGATATATTTTGCGAGATAAAACTAAGAAGACTTTCAGAAGACTTGAAGGTGTATAACACCAGCTGTGGTTTACACAACAAAGTGAGCGAGCAGATGTGATTAACTCACAATTACAAAACTGCAAGTAGAGTACAACAGCAAAAATAGCCTCATCTTGATGTAAGAAAACAAACAAGGCCCATTTTTATCAATCGTGCAAGGCTGCAAATAATAGTTGGTCATCGAACAAAGTCCAACTAAAATTGGCCCACGTTCGGCGAAATCTTACTTGAACTGCGTTTGGACATCAGTTGGACATATCCTTGTCAAATTTAATAACAAAGAGTCAATCGCTTTCATTGCAGGGCCCAAGTGTTCGAAGGCTGATTAGACGGCAAACTCGGGGTTAAATTTTTATCTGGGTTTCTTTTTCTTTTTTCATAAAGCATTTTCTCAGAAACATTTTTTCTATTCTTTTTTGAGTATGCAATCATCAGTGTGTAGACAAAAAGAATTTAACTGAATTTTCTATTTTTGTTAGCTTTCAAACCTGAATTCAGACTTCACTCTTTCCTTTTGCCATCTTAACCCAGGTTTCAACAGCTAAAATCTACCCTAAGCAAATGTGTAGGAACAAAATACCATTACTGCATTATGGCATCAATTACAGTAACAACAGTCTTCCTGCAAATCTCACATCCACCATGAACAATATTCGTTAAAGAGGTTTAATGCGAACACTATTGCAGAGACCGATCTCTTTCAGTAAAGCCAAACATGTATTACGAAGTCACCCTTGACGAAGAGGAAAGTGACTTCTCAATACAAGTGCAACACTGTTTACAGTGCAGACACCCTATTGTCCCGTACGATTGTCAAGATCGAGCCATTTTGGCGTGAAATGTCCCATCTTGATTTAAAACGTTCTGTCAGGGGGCAGGCGTCGGGTGATCTTGTGGGAAATTGCAATACTTACCGCTTCTGTTAACTGGTCCGGTTTGTATCGCCCAGCACCAAAAACATTAGAACCACCAGTAGGTCTGAAATAAATTGTGAAAATTAACTAAATGGGATGTAACTTCGAGTGTTGCCGAAATTATTGTAGCTACCGAGTTGAGGTGTCTTTTCGAAATTTCGTGTTACTTGATTTGTTGATTGCTCCATCCGCAAAGATGTTGCGCGATTTTTGTTTCAAGCGACGTTATTCTTCTGGCGAGAGAAATGAATCAGAGGATGTGAAGTGACTTAATTTTGAGATGTAAGAGCAAAACTAACAACCCCATAAAAAGAAAAACGAAAGGTCATGTTTTGCTTTCTGTTGTTGATTTGTTTTGTTTGATGTTTTATTTTGGTGTTGTTTTCTATTACGATGGTCTCAATGGATGTGATTCGAGGAGCTTAAGCGATCACAACGGCGACGACAGCGAAAACAACTTTGATCGCATCGACGTTCAAAAAAAAGGAGGAAAAATTCTACGTCTTGGGGTCATCAACTTCATAGTTCGCCACATTCAGCAAAAAACAAATTTTACGCAGACAACGGTAAATAAACGTACCAAAAGGCTTGGCTTTGTGTTTCGCGTTGCCGTCGCCGTTCTTCGTTCTTCCGTCACTGTTCTTCAGGGCGCCTGCTGTGTACCAGGATTGGGTACGCGCCGTGATTGGTCCGGGTTGAAGGGAAATGCAAGCGTCCTTCCGATAACTGATTCATTAGGTCCGTTTGGGGCGTCGAACAAGAACCTCGGAGCTACTTCGCAGACGTTACTAACTGCGATAAGATCACGTCTGCGACGCAGGCTACCATTAGGGATTTTAAGATCCAACGACGTGACGGCAACAAGAACGTCGCTTAAAAAGTGAATTTGCGTTCTTTCAGTCTTTATCGCAATCCCACTTACTCTGTCGAATGTAGGCGAACCCTCCTGGAGTTGAATTCCTAGGGACCATAACCATGTTCAGAAAAAGGTAAAATTTCGTCTGCTTGTTCAAAGTTGTTGTTTGCTCATAAAACCTATTGTTTTTTCTACTTTTGCGTTGCCGCCCGCGTCGTTGGATCTTAAAGTCCCTATTATGGCTGACCCAGAAGACTACCGGCACTGGCAGTCTAGACATGTGACTCGGCTGAGGCCACCTTGAGCAGAGTGAAATGCCCGATGACAATCACTCGACAACGACACATCACTCAGGACAGCGCCTCGTGTTTCAAACTCGGCAAAACACTCCCGCTCGTTTTTTAAATAATGCATAAACAAAATTCCAGAGTAACTTACAAGGTTACTACTGCACCTCTGCAGTCACCAGCCCTCCATAATATTTCACTAATTGCTGATGTAAGACCTTTGCTTATAATCAGCGCGACATTTTGGAGCTCTTACATTGAAATTCTCACCTGAAACCATTACGACCCAAAAGATGGCCAATTTGCAAAATATTGTCACGCGCCTCTGTATCATTGTTCTCAGCTAGTCTTATGGTGCTTATTATAAAGCGATATTTTGGAGCTCTTGAAAGATAGTGACTATAACTAGTAATAGCCAAAGGTTACGGAGTGCGGGCGATAACGATCGACGGTTTTGCTCCAACCCTGTGCTTTGCGTACGTTTCACGTGACAGATGATCAAAACACGCGTGGTGAGATTACGAGTGATAGAAGGTCCAAACGCACGTGTTCAAATTGTGTTCTGTGCATTCCATTCATTCTTAGTGGAAGTCCAAACGAAAGCTAACTATATACATGCGATGCGTGCGTAATAGCAACCTCGACATTAGGATTGCGGGCTCCTCTTGTCGCCCGCAACAACAAAAAACACCCTTGTAAGAACGCAGTAAAGCAGTAGTGAGCACATATTTTCTTTGGTTAATAGTTCTAAGTGACAATGGCCTTTTTTTAATGGCCAGTTCCGTTTATCTAAAAGTAAATACTTTTCTAGCCAGACTACTACATGTAAAATTCAGTTTGACAGTGACGTGAAAGCCATGGAGATTAAATTAAATGGCAGAGGTCCGTTTCCGCAGGTCACGTGATTTTTACACTCCTTACCTCTTATTGGCCATAATTTGTTGTTGGTATATTACAACTTTGAGTATAAAGGTAGCTTTTACAAATACGGCCTTTATTACACTTGGGTCCAAATGTTATTACAGATAGGACCTTTATTACACTTGGGTCCAATTATTACACTTGTGCCTTCTACACGTATCTCGCGTGAGGTAAGCTCAGCAAATGCCTGGTACGAGATCAGTGGAATGATAGCAAATCCCAGCAAACACCAAGGGATGATACTAGGAAAAACTGACCATCAGCTTAATTTCTCAGTAAATGACTCAGTGGAACTTTTCGGCGTTACAATTGATAAAGATCTTACGTTTAAGCAACATGTGTCCTCTATATGTAAAAAGGTAAACAATCAGTTTAGCGTTATGACAAGGTTTGGCAAACTGATGTCTACTGAAACCATGCTCCGTCTTTATAAGGCATTTATACTTCCTCACTTTTATTATTGTTCTATGGTGTGGCACGGTAAACAAGATTCTGATGAACTGGACCCTTTAAACAAACGTATTCTTCGATTTATTTTCAAGGATTTTAACTCTGAGTACAATAATTTACTTAAAAAGGCAGGAACTGCAAACCTTAAGGACAAGCGTTTACAAAACATGATTCTTACTATTTTTAAATGTCTTCATTTTTCTGATTATCCAAGATATTTAAAAGATATGTTTCGTTTACGCTCTAGCACCTATGTTTTAAGAGGACATAATATGCTCTGTTTGCCCAAACCATTGACTACTTCTTATGGTATCAATTCCTTTAGTTACTCGGCAGCAACATCTTGGAATTCTCTTCCTGACCATTACCGCACTATTTCTGATTTTACTTCTTTTCGACGACTGTTATCTACTGGGAACAATAATTTACTTAAAAGGGCCGGAACTGCAAACCTTTCTAAATCATGATAATTTGCAAGTTAGTTGTCTAAGTAGTTAGTTATCTTATTTGTTATGTAGAATTAACTTTTTATTATAATTATTTATTAATATAGTTGGCTCGAAGATATTAGCACTTGAGTGCTACACTGTAAATTCGAGGGTAAATAAAGTTTATTGATTGATTGATTGATTGATTGATCACATAATCTTCATGATGTGGTAAAAACGTCTGAAACTTTCATTAAGATTAATTCACTGCAACACCTTGATAGTTCAAGAGAAACCTAACCTACGAAATCGGCCAAAAATGCGCGTTACAAAATTCACTGTTTTTACGTTATGCTAATTTTTCCAAATTGATGCCCATCATGCATACATTCTACCTCCATGGCTAGCACATTTTAGTATGAATTTTATTGCATATTTTAAATGTAAAATATTGACAGTATTCAGACTGAAATGTACATAGCCTGGTGGCAACTTAAACGGTGTATTTTCCATTTCTTAATCAGGTGCCATGAAAGTGGACATTTTGAACGGAAGGGGTGAATCTGTGAACAAACTGCCTGGTGACAGAAGAAGACTGTTGGTAGAGTTAAAGGTCATTTGGCATGGTAACAGATAAATGCTTTATATTGTAAGGAGAAGTACACGATTTGTGGCAGGCTCGTAGTATGCATTGCTGGGTTCTCGTAGCAATACGCTTTCCTCTTTTTTAATTAGGTAAGCATTGACTCATAAAACTGCAAAAAAATTAGGTTACCATTTGAACAAAATACCTCTCTCAAGAGTTAAGAAACTTGTTTATGCACTTGTTAGTCTTAGTTGTTTGTTATTTCTTCTGTTTCTAATGTTACTATTACTGTTTTTTTTAATACCATTATTAGAGAAACCTCTTTAGATTTGAGGACGACATTTGATTTTTAGTTTTCTCGCCTTTTCTCTAAAAATAGACACGCCGGAAAGCTTCATTGTACTTTTTTTCACCACAAAAGTTAGTTCGCTTATTTCCGTCGAAGGAGGTTACGCCCTCTCCTGATCACTAAATCATAAAATTCCTAACATTTGATAACCTGTTTTCGCCATTACGACATTCTCGGTAAAACTAGTAGTAGAGGCCTTAAGATCCGACGACGGCGACGGCAGAGAAAACGTCGCTGAAATAGTCAATTCGCTTTCCTTCAACCTTCATCGCGATTACTCCAAGTGATTAACTATGTCAAATGTAGGTGAACCCTTCTAAAGTTGAATTCCTAAGAACAATATTCATATTCAGAAAGAAGGAGGAAATTTCGTGGTCGCTTGTGAACCTCCTCTGTACAACGTGAAATTAGGCATTTTCACTTCGTAGTCGTGCAGTGACGGCAAAGAAATGTACAAAAAAGCGTGATGCACGTGCAAAATTGTTGCTTTGGTTATTAAAACTATTGCTTTTGTGACATTCTCGTTGTCGTCACCGTCGTCGGATCTTAAGGTCCCGTAGAATGACGACGGCTACCACATTCTCCCGTCGATATGGTGTTGGTTCACACGCGTGCACTACTTAGTATTGGGAAAATCTCCTTCTCGTAGTCGTCCTCATCTTAGAATCAAAGGCTCTGTATTTTGATCTTATGAGGATCGTTCTTGTTATTTATTCACGTATTTTTTGCAGGAAGAGACAAAGATGGAGATAAAGTAATCACTAATCATGTCTGTCAACATGGAGGAAAGAGCTGGCCTTACTGGTTCAGAAAAATGGGTAACTGAGTTAGTCTGCTGCTATCTGTGCTATGAGATTTAGTGTTTTAATCCAGTGGATAGGGTTATCCAGTGATTGAGCAACTGGGGCCAGTTGAAAACAGTGTGTGAATTTACCTGTTCTTGCAGTTGTTTCAGAAAATATTACCCTCCTTGGCCCACATACTCTTCAGCTTCAAGTGTTACTGAGTGACAGTTCAACTGCACCATCAATTAAGAGCCTTCCAGTCCATCGTATCAAGTTTACCGTTACAGGTTTGTAAAAAATGACCAGCCTGGGACAGTTTTAGGTTGCGCTTACGCTAGATGTGATTTTTCTGGATTCGTGACGATTGCGAACAATTTGGTTCCAGATTCGTTTTGAATGGGAACATTGTATTTTTGTTCCACCCTGTTAAAATAACTCGTACATCTTTTGTTATCTTGTTTCTCCTTTGTCATTTCTGTTTATTTAGAGGCTCATCCAAACAAATTCACTGTTGGAATGTTGGAGACGCCTCTTAGAGTTGGAGTTCCTTTCCAGGTATACGTTTTTGTTTCAACCCCGCCCCCCCCCCCCACCTCTCCACCCCGTTCGTGAGAGGATGTAGCTCCCTTAGGGGGTGGGGGGGGCACTTCTTTCTAGTAATAGGCCAATGGGTATGTACCCCTGGATGGGGTCGCATTTCCACGACTGGGTTGACTATAATTGGGAATAATGGCTTTGCATTTTCAGAAGAGTTACTAGAATTGGGTCACAGGTTTTCGGGTTTTTAGGGAAAAAATCATTATAAGAAGGGGCTTAAAAATGGGAAGTTGGGATTATGCAGAAAATTATCTTTGCCCAAAAGTGACTAAGATGGAGTCTATAACTGGCCACAGAATAGCCTATAGTTGTGAAGGGGTTCTAAGAGGCCAGCAACACATAATAAGCAAAATATTATCCAAGTGCCCCTAGCCATATGTCACTAGAGGATGGTAACAAGGTTTAGCTAGTCTAGAATAGCAAATATAGAATACTTTGTTTTTTTGGTTAAGATTCCACTGAATTTGCTGGATGAGTTTAACAACCCTTCAAAGTTATCAGAGGAAAAAGCACCCGTGTTAAGTGCAAGGTGAGTGTATTTTGATAATTTTTTAATGAAACATGGATTAGTAACCTTGGTGTTAAAGTCAATCCTGCCTTCAACGGAATAACATATCTTGTTTATATTGTTAGCGGACTGGAGTTGACTCACCAGGGAACATCAGTGAAGGGAAACAGCCTAATCGTTAAGGGTGTGGTGGCCCTTGGTTCTGTACCATCCCATGCAGGAAAGGTGAGGGGTTTTTTGGAAAACATCTTGGCCGATTTGATTCAATTTCTCGTAATAAAATAGAGTACGACGATATCATCAGTAGCCTTCATGATTCAAAATCTCAAACGTACGTTAAGTTTATCTGAACAGTTTTTTTTTTTTGTTTGTTGTTAAAGGATTTTAATCTAAAGATCACCCTACCAGGACTTGAAGAAGTTTCGCAGAGCTTGAAGATCAGGTTACTTCCAGGTACTCTTTTGACGCCATATGTGGGTTGAGTGTGTTGTTGGTTCTCTCTCTTGCTCCGAGAGGTTTTTCCTCCGGGGACCCGGTTTTTACCTCTCCTTAAAAATCAACACTTTCAAATTCTAATTCGATCTAGAACCCACGGACACGTTTCATCGAGTTCTTAAGAACTCTTAAGTGCTCCTTGGGTAATACAAATTACAATTTACAATTTTTACCAGAATGTAAATTTTCCTTTAAAAAAAAAAAAAGAGACGCTGTCTAAAAAGGATGCGTTCCTTTGGGCTGATCGGGATCAGGATCAGTGATCTGGGATCACTCGGATCATGCTACATCAAATGAACCAAAGAATCCTTTTCCAGGGTTGATTTGTCAGTTCCTTTAATGTGCTGTGGTCCGAATGATCTCTGATCTCTGATCACTGATCCTGATCCGGCTCATCCCAGTAGAACGCAGCTCACAAGGCAACGTGGCTGTAGGGTTTTACCGTGACGCGCACGCCCCCTTCTCACTCCATTTTTTGACTCACGTTAGCATGACTGTTTCTGTTCACTGAATCACGTTTCGTGCTGCAGGCCCACCAGAATCCCTTGCGGTCACACCAAATGACAGTGAGGTCACAATTGAAAACAACAGTGCCCTGCAGCTACAGGTGCAAGTCCAGGACAAAGCGGGAAACCTAACAGTTCAACCAAGGCTTAATGTTGTCTGCAAGGTAACTATGCTAGTGTTCAGCCCGATGTGATTTAACTAACTGTGGAGTAATTGCTCCTTATTCCTAACATTGGAACTTCAATTTTAAAGTGCTGGTTCCACAACTCACCACAACTTTGTTAAGGAGTCATGAGGCGTTGAGTATACTCTGTTCAAGCAAATTGACGATTGTTAGACGTTCATTGCAACTACATATTTTAAAATCCCTTATAGTTCTAAGCTTTTGAGAATGCTCAAAGCACCTCAGTTTTGAACTTTTAATGTCATTTCTATGGTCGATATTTGTACCGACCATGAAAAATTGTCGATTTTTTTTTTTCAGTAACACCGACGGCCATCTCTGATGATGTTTCTTGGGAAATTATATTTATTTATTTACTATTATTATTTTTTTAACAAAGAGGTACATTGATGGCGGCCGCCATCTTAAAAGCAATGTCCAAGATGGAGGAGATAGTATCATCGTTCGCACTACAAAATACACCTGCTTTTGCAGTTTACAATCGGCGACAAAATTGTTGAGACATTTTCCTCAAATGGGATACCTCGAAGAACAAAACAATACGCACTCCTCCCCCATCCCGTCCATTGAAGGTTGAGGTGTTTCTTGTTTTTAACAGGTAGCTCGAACAGCGGCACAACGTTGCATGGAGGGGGTAGGGAGGGAAAGATCTATTTCCCCCCTTTAAAGTTGGCGAGACATCAGACTAGTTTTGTGGCCGATTGTAGGGAAATCGCCCGAGAGAGAAAGAGAAAAAAAATATAACGCTATCATCACTTCATTTCCGAGTCTCATCGAGCACAGTTCTCGACCAATCAGCGTGTGAAAAGTCGCTTTGTTATTGTAAAACTTGAATTTGATAAGAAGCAACTTCATGTGTTGTAGCTGACAGGCACACCAGGCGTACCAACTTACATAGGAGACTGCAGTGCATCTGGAAAGGCCTCCCTAACAGGTGCTGATATCAGTCTGAAGCAGGTCATCAAGGAAACCAAATTAAAGGCCAAGATAGAGTTACAGGTTTGTCATTTGATTAGGGAAATGGGAATGGTCCCTTCTGGGGTTTTCATGTCCTGCTTTGGTGCGATCACCCTGCGTGCAATGCCTCCTTTTGTCGTCTTGAGTGAAAAGGAAAAGAGGAGGTTCTGTCTAAATCACGTGATCCCATTGAAGTCGCTGAAGCCAGAATATCTGGACCAACCGTCAAACTGGTTTTCCAAGTGCGAGCGACCGTTTATTGATTAACCGATGGCCATACCTAAAACCACTCTACCGTGTGCACAGCTTTTAGGCTTGGGTTCAACACAGTTTATCAGGAACAATAACCTCATGTATAATAACAAGCTTACTCGATTTGTAAGGAGTCTTTCTCAAATACGCCAAAATCGAGAAAGTAAAAGGAAGGCACTGTCAGCAGGGTGTGGTGCGTAGTCGTAACATTCTTACTGTACATCTTTAAATTGTATCTGGGCTTGGCTGACCAACACCCCGAACCTCAGCATGCTTGTTTGTCGTTTTTGTAAAAACACACAACAGTAGCCCTGATTTAGTGACTGGTTATGATCTTTTAGCATCATAAAGAGGTTGCTGCAGTGGAGAAGACCAGTATTGTGGCACCCAGTAGTAAAGCAGCAGAGCTGGAAGTGTTTTACAAATTTCCTGATGCGAAACAGAAGAAGAAGCTGGACGATGGACAGGAGCTGCCTTGCACAGCAGGAAACACACTTACTGGACTGAGTATGTGATAAAGCAGAAATCAGTGTACTTAATTTGATATGATTTTTTCCCCTAGTTAGCCTTAATTGGCGTAAGAAATTAGTATAGGTAATAGCGTGATTTGTAGTGATATTTGGCATAGATACCACGAATGGTATTTCGAATTTGTTATACGTAATTTCACGAGGCGTTAGAGGAGTGAAATATGAGACTATTTTGAAATATTATAAGTGGTATTTATGCCAAATATCACGTACAAATCATACTATTATTTATTTATACGACTACCCGTAAAAGGGTTGTAATTTTCACATCTAGGTATGTCAAATTAAGCTGAAATACCACTGCTCTATGGCAATTGCACAAATTCCTCATATAGTACAGGCTTAAAAAAGAGAAAAAAAGGTTTGAAAATTACGTGTGCACCAAAATGCCAATCCATATCATCGAGGCATGACCACATCAGCTAAACATTAGGAAGCTTATGCAACGATAAATAATACGAAACAAGCAAACAATAGGTTTTGCCTTAACTGAACTCGATAATAACGACACGTCACACTTTTTGGTGCGAACGCAAAGGTATTTCCGGTCGTCGCTTCTCTCCACCCGAACAGGAAACACGTCTGCGTTCGCCCGCTATCCTTTGCACAACTCTAACGCAAAATTTCCCGCGAACTTAAATGGGGGCATAAACATATGAAGATACATTTTCCTCTCTTTATAACTTGGGAGTGGTCCCTTACAATGTGTCTATATGAACATTGGTCATGAGCAAGTTGCTAACACGATTAAGTTTGAAAGATCGAGTCTTCCCTGTAGTGGTGACGTCTTCGAACCCGTGGTCTTCGTGGTTACGTAAACTGCCCATTCGTCTCCTAGGAAACGAGAGGAGGTCTTGAGCCCATATGTGTCCCGCAATTGTTTTGGGGATCGTTACTAGGGACACGCCCGTCAGCTATTGGCCAATTTGTTTTCCCTGTTCTCTGTAACAGTCCAGAAGTCTTTGCGAACGTCAACTTGGTCTAGTTTCCTACTCAGTGTGTATCAGTCAATTTTCTTCTGGTGTTGGCTTAGTTCAATTTGCAGTTACATTTTATCTTCAGCCAGCTGTCAGTAGCACGGCCTGGTTTCCTCCAAAGTTGGTTAAATTTAACCCAGCGTAGCCATTTTCTGGTCATTAGGGACCTTAAGATCCGAGGACGGCGACGGTAGCTCAGATGTCGTTAAAGTTCTATCTCTTGTTGCAAGGGCAAGTTAATATTGCAAATGTAACTGTAGCATCTTGCTGTCACCGACAGGTTTTTGAATTCTGGATGAAGGACAGAGAGAAGTAACAATAGACAACTCCCTAGCTAGCAGATTTAAGGTAGATCCAAGAGAGGTCTTAGTCATTCTAAATGGAAAAGATATAAATAATTCAATTGCTCCTCTGTAAATATCCCTGCGAAATTCCTTGTGACAGTTAACTTAGCCCAGCTTTTAAAGTAGCGTATTAAATTTTATACCAATCGTCCATTTTCGGGTTGTCGAGCAAACCATCAGATCTTTATCAAAGCAAGGCTTGGTGCACAATCATCCATGCGAACACAAGTTTAATTAATCTGCGTGTCAATGAATATTATATTTTCATGAAAAAACTTTTCAATAACGAAATCCAATTAGAGTTGAGCCTGCGATCATTTGAAAACTGGAAACTTGTCAGCGGTAAACTTAAAAAAAAAACAAGACATAACCTGGATGGGTCGACACCTGAGCTGGCGATACCGTCAGGTGATACTGGTCAGCGGATACTCTGTTTTGACAGCTGTCATCTGACCACAACATGGATGTGGAATATCAGGTTGCAGGCTCCCAAACTAGCTAGAAAGTGTAACATCCCACATTGGTTGCCCTGTGGTGCGGACTAACGGGCGGGCGGACGGGTGGGCGTAAGGTCACGTGACTACCATAATTTTTCGGATGGGTAGGTAACCAAATTTTCTTAGCTATGGGGCCCCGCTATGAAATGACGAGTAACAGGTGTTTCTTTTATAAAGAGGCTGAAGGCAATTGGAAAAGGCCCATTGTAGAACACGAGTAGCCACCCACAATGTGATCACAGTCAAAGACAGAAAATATCAGTAAAGGAAATTGGACAATATAGCGCAATCCACTAGGTCAACACGTCAACTCAACAATCAAATGCAAGGCTCTTTAGGCAATAGAAATAACACACATCATCACATAAGCAAACTTAGTGCGCTTTCCATCTGAATTGGCCTGCCAGACCAGCCCACTGTTAATGAAAATTCCACCGTCAATCAGATCTGTCCAGCCAGAATAGTTTATTTTTAAAATCTGTGCACAGCAGTGTTGGTTTTCTGTTGAAAACTCGAAAGAAGGCCTATATCGTTTTCAACACGAACGGTCTGGCTTGCAATTCCTGACTTTTGATAAGCGCCCTTGGTATGAATTAGCAGTTGTAAACTGTTACTGTTTATCAATGTAATGACTTGTCTTCATTTGTCTCCAGGTTAACTGGACTCCAAAAGTTGCCAAAGACATCATCAAGCAAGGGATTCTTCCTGATCTGAAGGTAATTACAGGACTTCGTGAAAATAAGTTTGTCGGTGACAGTGTGGCACAGTTGGATAGTGCGCGGCCTTCGGTGCGTGAGGTCCCCGGTGACATTACATCCTTGATTCATCTTCTTTCCTTTCTTTGTAGTTTTAACTAGCTTTAAATGCCCTTAAAATGGAGCACTGATGGAGAAAGGATGGGGGGGGGGGCAGGGCTGTGCTCTAGTAGAGCCCGAGCCCGGTGGCCCCTGGCGCCTAATGTTTGCTCCCGGGCGACTAGAAAATCTCAGATTTTTCATACAAATCATATGCTGGACTAATCATAAGCTACAGGTTCAGAGCACTGTGCTTCCTTCAATTTTCCTTAGAGCACAGCTGCACCAACTGACAAACAGGCAGTGCTTCGTTCAGGCCAAGATTTGTGTTCTGAGGTGAAAGTATTGTCATTTGTGTGTTTATTGTAGGTACCTCTTTCTTGCGATGAACCGAAATACTGCCAAGTTAGTATGACCGGTGAAGCAGGACTGGAGTTTTCCTTCACGTTAAGGTAACACCCATTACTATGAACGTTTTTGTAAAGGAAGAGAACTTGTCAGTCTTAAGCGAAAGAGAAACAAAGGATCATTATGCGTTTCTGGGAAACTGCCCACCTACCCCCCCCAAGCCAATATTAACATTACCTCTCACTTAAGGGAAAATGTTGGCTTAGGGGAGGGATGATCCGAAACAAAATTGAATAAAAGTGACAGTACAGTAGACTTTTTTGCAACAGACACTGATCCCAGGGAGATGGACATAGCTTTAAGCCGCTTACCTTGGCTGTTAGTTGCCTGTAAATTACCTCTCTACTAATCTCTCTTTTCATAACTTCCCCCCCACCCTCTCCCTGGGTGTGTGACCTGCCTTTCATGAACGTCAAGTATATCTATGCGTCGCCTTCTCAGTATCCTTTTCCCCATTGAATGTGCTAATATCATTCTACGAATATAAAGTTTTGAGCTATTTTTTCCGGCTATTATTTTGAGCACTAGGCGAGTTTTGAGAGCCAATTAGAGAATCGGAGTTCGTCTTGCGAATAGTTAGGGAAGTTAAGCAAATAACTCGACAACGGCTATAACAATTCTTTTGACGTTTGCCGTTGCCATTGTGGTTGTCCCTTATAAGCTGGTTTAGAAAAAGAACAAAGCAATTTGTCTAATTTCGGTCACGCCCTATCTACAGACCCCATGCCGACGCTCCCAGCATCTTGAAGTGCTCATGCAATGAACCTCGCATGAGATTACGAGAGCCTCTAGCATCAGATATCATTCTGTC